CCATTACTGCTGGTTTCACAAAGCAAGCATTCTACTTTTGGCACCTTAGAGTTAATCCTTACGGGAGATGTATTGAATACCTTTAAAAGGCATGTCAAGCAATTTGAATTTCTCTCTGAATCAAAATTTCAGGATGACAGCTTTGTGACACACTTGGATTTCCCTCCTGCYAACTCATCCCTGTCCCACAGCTTCCATTTTGGTGTTGTTAAAATAGATCAGCATTTGACAAGTAACAGGGACAAATATCTGCCATCCTCCTTCTCCTCCCACCTCTCCCCACTGCCAAAGGAATCATGGTGGAAACACCAGCTTAATATTAGGGTTTTTTTTTTTCCTCAACACTAGATACTGAACCTCTCTATCTTCTGTTGTTAAGCTCTGCATCAGAAATGGATGTCCCTGTTGAAGGGCAGCCCACAATCTCACCTCTAAAATGCTAAATATCATGACTGCCAGAATCTATTTCAGTCASTTGAAGCCTTTGAGAACAAATCCCTTTAACCACTTCAAAATCAAGGGTGTGTTGGCCTTAAGCAAAAAAATATGCCTCCATTTTGGGTAAGTAGGGCCTGCTTTGCAAAGCATCAGCACAGATGCTTCCAAGACATTGACAGAGGCACAAACTTGTCCTTTAGCAGCAACTGTTGAGTCCTCAGGATTACCCAGACCTTYCTCCCTCTCCAGCCCATCCTCCATAATTAGGGTCTTTCACACCAGCCCACATCTCAGTGCAGTGAACTGCACTGTTCACCTTGAACAACAGCATCCATGTGTATGAAACAGCACTGAGAGACAGCAATAGCAAAGTGCTTTCTCTGAAGCAGCATTTTGACTAAGCTTCCTTGTTTTTTAACCACAGCCACAGAAGTCCTTGTGCTGAATTGTATTTGGTTTATTTTCCAGCTTCAGAATCATATGTTCTCATTCAGCGGATCAAYGCTCTTACATCCCATTTAGGATTTTTAGAAGCATTGACACAGTACAAACTAATTCAGCAGTGAAAATGGGACATATCAGCAGTTCAAGRAAAGATTAATTAAAGCTTGACAAGCAGGGAGAACTTGAATACAGAACGAAAAATGCTTTCTCCCTCTCATCCCAGCATGTCTAAATGTTGATGCAAGAACATCTGAGATCCTTTTTCAACCTCCAAGCAAAATGCAGTGGAGCCCATAAAATACCGTGTTGTATAATTTCAGTATTGATTCAAACACTCTCTTCTAATTAACATTAGAAGAAAATTAAGTTTCATCAGATTTGTTGGCCATATCCTTGACCTACACAGTGCTCCCTCAGTGGTTTATAGTTAACCCAGGAAGATCAGTTTCAGAGCCAGGTAAGAAATATCAAGTCACTCTACAGTCAAGTTTGCTCACGATCAGTTACAGTTGCAACAGTAAGGACAAAAGCTTCAAATATGACAAGGAAAGCTGTTTAGAGTCTGCTCAATACTGCTCTTCATTTAAATCTGTGCAGGTTCTCATTGTATGAAGACTTGTCCTGAAGGAAGCTTTGAAAGGCCTGRAGTCCCCCTCAGCTGCACATGTGGAGAGAGAGCAGAGCTCCAGAGATGACATGTGCCAAGCATGGATGTGGCATGAGTCTGCCTAAAGCGTCATGAGGAAAACCCTGAGGACAAGAGTATAGTTAAGGCCCTTCTTCAGATTTCTTTGTGCAAGCCTTCCTTTGGGCCCACATTAGCACTGCCCCATTAGCAAGTTATCAGTTCTTTCCTTCAACATGAGAAAAACAACTTCCATAAATAAAACCCACACCAATAAACAAGGAAAGAGGACAGGGAAAAAGACAGGCTCATAAAGTTCACCTGGCCTAATCCTCACCTTTCTCTTGCTTCTGCCAGCAAGAGAACAGAATAAGTTTATTTACTACTCAGACATAATCTGTTTAGTACTATGCAACATGCTGACACATGTTAAAAATCAGTGCCATATACTGTCAAAATGCATCCATTAAACAAAGAATMCAATAATCAGGAGATGCCAACATCTATTGAAAAATCATAACCATAGGAGGAAGTTGCCTCTGTACTAAACCCCATTCACTATTTTTGTCGATGATCTAGCAGAATGCAAAACCAGTGTTGCTAAAGATAGTGGTCTGGTAAATAATACAGCAGACAAGGCAGAGGGAGTAATCTGGGCTGGTCAGTGCACAGCCAATGCAAACAGGAGGTGCAGTCATTCAACAAAATGCAAAGTCAGACACCTTCCCCCACAYCATGCAGGTCACATTAGGCATGGACAAGGACTTAAAAGTTGGAATATACTGGCACTTAACACTTCACTTGCTCCTAGTGTCACATTATAACCAAATGGAATCACTCTTTTGACCCACAGACTAAGAGAATTTACCCCTCATGTGGAAGTGGTGTTTTTTTTCTGTGGTTCACAGATTCCTTAGGGCACTTGAGACAGCAAATGAAGGGCAAAGCTGTACGCCACTAAGAGACTTGCAAAAGTTAAGAAAAGCAGGTTCTTGGATGTTGGCTTAAATGTGCTTTATACTTACTGTATCTTAACAAAAAAAAATAAAATTAGCAGATAGAAATGTCATTAAATGCTCTTAGTATAGAACATTGGCATGGGCAATAGTGAGACTCCCATGTGGTTGGGGTGTCTGGATTTTACAAAGCAATACAGAAACTGAAAAGAGAGCCACAGAAACCACTAAAAGAGAGAAAGTACTGTACACAGAGAATCTGAAAGGGCTCAGTTGGCTTCATTTCTTAAAAATAATGTGAGAGGTAAGGCAATTAAACAACATAAATCCCCTCAAAGGGAGGGACTATCAGTTATTAGATAGACAGAACAACCTAACAAACCAGTTGCTGGAACCTTAAGGCAAACTGAAAGCGAAACAGCTCTCCCTCCCACACACTTCTTTCTAGTTTGTGTTAATTAATAACTGCCAGAAACCAGTGCATCTACCAACCTTCAGATCAAGTTTGGCTGCTCTTTCTCATTGTCATGCCCTAGTAAAACATGTAGTATTAGCACATACAATTCTGAAGACTCTGAAACACAAATGCACAGAATACACAGAAAGTCAAACTAGACAGATTTATCTTTAAATTATGGACATGAAAATCCAGTCTTCAGCAGATCAGCAAGTTCACAATACATTTGGGGGAATAGATGAGAATTGGAGAGAAACATGGGTATTTGAGGGTTTCAGCTGCTCTCAGTATTAATGACAAATGAGTTCTTAAACAAAAGAAACATAAATTACAGTTAGGATATTTTTTGTTTGTCTTCAGGATTTCAACTTATCTTTTAAAAAGAACCCCAGAAATTTTAAGTTTTAACAAAAGGTAAAACTCTCTCTGATCATTTGTATTTACCAACTGTCCTCACTAGATTTTTTCTAATTCACTTCTTCTACAATGATAGAAAATAAATATACAGCATTTAGTACAAAGATGAAACAATCCCAAAGGCTTTGCTTTCTCTTATTCAATGGGAAATTACTAAAACTAACCCCTACCTTCCACAAATCCTCATCCTCCTAGACTGTTCCACGTACTCCTTCTCATCACAGAAACTCATCTTGGGCAAAGGGTAACAAGACAAGCCATTTTCTTACTGTCTTATTTTCTTACATTTTCTTACTGTATCTTTATTCTGAAGGCTGTGATCAAACAGCATCAACTTCTAATCATCCATCTTAATATAGCCATGTGCTCCACATGGACACCACAGCCAAATATTCCAAACAGATCACAGACAAACAAGCTGGTTATGCTGYATCTGCAAAGATCTGTCTACACAGCAGCCCTTCTGCTATCAGGCACAACTGGTTTGCAGGCCAAGGCAAGTCACTGCATGCATTAGCCCAGGCCAGCCAACACCAATATTGTTCCCAAAGTCCCCCAAGAACATGGAGCAAAATTCCTCCCATTTTCTCTTCCCTTTACACTAGAGCAGTCTATAGGCCAAAGCAAGTTTTCATGTGGTCTAAGTGCCCTGAAACTTGGTGGCGATTTAAGAATGCCACGTTTAACAGGATACCCCTTCAGCAGATGGCAGGAATACAGCCCTGAGCAAACACAACAATTTCAAATACACCCGCAGTATCCTACAAAAATAACAGAACAGAGATAAGTAAAGCACCAAGACATCAGTTTTTCTTTGAAAACATATATTGCATATATGATCTCTTTTTTGGCACCATACAGACCAGACCATGCATTTGACTTTTCTTTTACAAAAACTACAAAACACATTGATTTCTTGGAAACACGAGAAACAGGTCCTCCTATCAGCTGGGGCATTTAAAGCTATTTAAATCACAGTGAGGAGATGAGACCCTGCAGGTAAATTCAGMAATGTGCTTTCCAGAGCGAGGGTCTCTTCCCTCTGGTTCTACTTGCTAAGCTTTACCCTGGCTTAAAGCTGATAGCCTGTCTCATGAATATCACATAACTCTTCACGAACAAGCAATAGCCAGGACAATCCCAACCTGCTCTCTCTCCCTTCAATCATCCTAAGAGTCTCCTGACTGCAGAGAGCAAGTTAGCTGCTACAGAAAACTTCATCTGAAGTATTCCCTGCACAAAAAATAACACCCCAAACAGACCTCTAACCTGAGAGATGCAGACTTAACCCACATGATGAATGGAGGAACTATTGCTTCTTTACTATTTAGACTCTTCTGCAGCCTCAGCATGCCCGAATCTCTTGCCAYCACTTATCCTTGTGATTCAATTGTCTGTCTCTCTCCAGTATGCTACCATTTTGTGGAAAGCTTTCTCTTACAACCCTGACCCAAAAATGAGCAATCATTTTGACAGTCTAAATCTTCTAGGGGCAGGCTATCTTCTCTTTCCACAGCTGGCAAAATAGCTCACCAATACTGCATATTACTGCTAAATCAGCACCTACACTGTTGATTTTACCTGTGAAACCACAGATCAGATTTTACATGCTTTTCTTAAGGCATTTAGCACAACCAACAAAAATTCAATGGGAAAAATAATATACCCTTTATATTGCTTCTCTTTATTCATGGTTCAGACAGGACTCATTAGTTTCAAGAAAAAAATCTTGTGGACACAAGGCAAAGCCTCTAGTAAATGTTTTTGATTTAAAACCACCCCAACTCCCACTCCCTTTAACCGAAAGTTACATCTTGAAGTATGTGGAATAGATGAGTGTGTTTGAAAGTTCATGGTGCAAAATAGAGGAGGATGGCAAAACCTCCTCAGATTTGTCAAAAATATACAGCTATTCCACTCTTTACATAAACAGAGTCTTCTCCCTTCCCTTTTTCCTTTCTGCTTCCATCCACCCTGCAACAAAATCAATATATACGAACAACAGCAGCAGTTTTGATGATAGTCAGTGATCCTTTTTGGCATCAGTCTGTGACAAAATCGTTGATTCTCTATTTTTAAATTACATCATAGCTGTGTAAAATATGCAGTGACATCCCAGCCGTGAACTCTTCATATCCGCTGTCGATACCTCAGCAAGATCCAGAYTGCTGTTGCAGCAAGTGCCAGGCCTGGCACAAGAATGGCTGCTAGAGGAAGCCCACCTGATTCTCCATCTCCTTGATGACCCACAGGGCCATTCTGTGGCTGCAACTACAAGGAAAAAAAAATATTTGTGTCAGAACCTATCACAGGAGAGCCCATAGCKCTGTGTCTGGACTAGGTGTTTCTGTAAGGATGTTCAAAATTGTTTCCCCAGGTACCTGCAGACTCCACATGGGGGAGGGTTAAAACAGCTTTGGATGGACTGAACTTCACTGCAGGGCACCCAGCCACTACCAGACACCTTCATGTTTCTCTGATGTTTTCTAAACTAGAAGTCAAGTGGAGCAAGACACACCTCATGAAGCAGGAGCAACGACACACACATACCCAATCATACTTTTGATGCACTTGCCACCACACCATTTCCTGCTCTCTTTACCAGGAAAAAGCATCAATCATTCTCACGTTTTTCTTTCCTGCCTTATACACTGGTCCAAAAGATTTACTCCTTTGCTAAGGTAATAGAAAAGGGATCTCAACCCACCTTTCCCCACCAATATGCTTCAGGTAGTTTAGTATTTCTTTTGTCAACTTGCATGCTAGCTGGGGATTAAGGATTCATCTCTTTTTGTATCTATTTGTAAAATAGTGCCAGTCTAGTTAAACTATGGCAGGTCTCTTTCATATTATTGTAAAATCATTTATRTTGGAAAAGGCCTTWAAGATTACCAACTGCTAACCCAGCACTGCCAAGTCCAACATTAAACYAAGCACTACAKCTACACAAYTTTTAAATGCCTCYAGGGATGGTGACTCAACCACTTCCTTCAGCAGCCTGTTCCAGKGCTTGACAACCTTTTCAGTGAAGAAATTCTTCCTAATACCCAATCTAAATTTCCCATAGTGCAACATGAGGACATCTCCACTTGTCCTACCATTTATTACCTGGGAGAGAAGACTGACCCCACCTGGCTACAGCCTCCTTTCAGGGAGTTGTAGAGAGTGATAAGGTTTTTCCTGAGTCTCCTTTTTCCCAGGCTAAACACCCCCAGCTGCCTCAGCTGCTCYTCATAGGACTCGTGCTCCAGATCCTTCACCTACTTCATTATCCTTCTCTGGACACATTCCAGCACCWCAATGTCTGTCTTGTAGCGTTGGGCTGCACACACATTCCAACACTAAAATGTGTGATGAACTCTGAAACAAAAGGAGTTCTGTCTCCAGTAAGATTTTGGCCACTGAAACAAAAGTGGATAACTGAAGATTCTGTCTTCACACACAAACCTTTACCTCTGAGAAAGGAGATCAGTGAGCAAAAAAAAAACATACTCCATCAAAACAAAGACCTGTGGACTTCTCCAAATTGACCTCTTCCCTGATAGGGTTACAAAGTAACACAAGGCAATTACCGGTGAGGCAATGAGAGAAGGTCATAGGTCAAACAATTTTAAATTTTTTAATGCACATATYACACTGAGCACCTGGACATGGTACTTTCCTTCCTCATGAAATAGCTGCAATCATAGAAACAGTCTAAATAGAGACAGAAATAAGCCTAAGAAACAGGGTAAAACATACCCTGCGCTGAATTTTCAGAGACACGTAACAGCCTGCATTCCTGAACAGCTCCACAGCATCCTTGTGCCGCAAATCCTTCAAGTCTTTGCCGTTGATCTAGCAAAAAAGGAAAAGGAGAACCAGACACTGAGGGTAAAAAGAGCAAGTTTTTAATGATGCAGGCTAACATGGGAAGGATAAGACATAAAAATCTTTCACAAAATTCTGCATTTGGGGCACGATACTATAATCAGAAAGATCCAAAATTATTCATTCATTCATATTATGGATGTATTTTTACATGTTGAGACAGAACATAAGAAACTCCAAGCCAAAACACAGAGGTATTGAAAAGCTACCTAGAAGCAAAGTAGGAATATAAGACCACAGTTGTGTCAATAGCAGCTTCTAATGCTGTTGCTTTCCTGGAAACAAATCAAAGGTGTGATTCTACCAGCTAATGAAAATAAAAGAGCAGCTAAAGCAAAATTATTATTTTGCGTCTCTTCCCTTGTTTCTTCTTCTTCTATTGGTGCACCTTTGAAACCTCTCTGAGGGAGTGCTGTAAACACACATTCATAAGCACACTGATGTAGGAAAACCAACAAAAAATTATTTACATACGTATTGGCATCCACTTAAATGTGTTAAGATTTTTCTTAATTTAAAACAACATATCATGGCACTAAGTTTTATAACTGACTTGATTTCATTCACTAAGAGATTATATTCATCCTACATTTTTATTTTCATTCCCAATTACCCTTAATTGTATYCCCTAGGATCACATCCAGTGCCTGCATTCTCTTCACAAGTATGTAAATATTAAACTGTCGAGAAAAAGAGAATAATAGTCTCCATTTCACTTAGTATCACTTTCTGGATCAATACTAGGCTCCAATTAGTGCAAGGTAGTCTATGGAGGCTAACAATATTACACGTGCAACACAATAAGCAAGTGTAAAATAAAGTTAGGAGTATAAAGAGGTTGTGTATCAACTAGGAGAGGCTACTTTTTCACCCATCACTTTGTAAAGTTTATTTCTTGTATGATTGCCACCCATATGAAGAACCAGTGGGTGTGAACATCAGACACTCGAAAACACTCTTCTAAAAGAAAAAGCAGTCTTGTTATTCTTGAGGAGCTCAAATAAAGACAAGAATTTTACGGCCTAGAAGTTTTATAGACTAAAAATCCCCTGTGCAAAACATCAGAAATTACGGGCTACCAGTCAAAAAATGGAAACTGAAGAGGTGGAAAACGTTTATTTACACGTATGTAAATGATGATCCATTGTGAGCAAAAGAATATCTGATGGATTGTAAAACCTCTGAGAGGCAAGTCAGGAAACATAAACACAGCACCATGGAGCACTTCTATAGCAAATCAAGAAGGTGGAAGAGATAAGCCCATGTGTAGAGGCGCTCACCTCCCCAGTGCTCAAAGTTCTGCCCAGATCCCCAAGACAGTTCCTCTATGAAGTTTGCTTGGCATCACCGAATTCACCACAACCTTCCATTGTGTGCACTGYGATGGAAAACCTATCTCTCACACCACATCGCTGATCAAGAACACAGTGGGCAACAGAAGAAAGGGCTTACCGCTAMAATTTTATCTCCTTCTTGTAATCGGCCATCAAGGTAAGCTGCCCCATCCTTTTTGATCCGGCTGACATAGATGCTGCTGTCATTGGCAATGTACTGCTGATCTGTCCCACCAACAATGTTGAAGCCCAACCCTAAGGCAAGCCAAAGAGAAAGCTGATGAGAAAAAGCTCAAAGCTTCAAATATCCATGCTGTCTTTCTTGTTGGGGACTGCACCCTCCCACATTGTCYTGCTTTCTCCACCATACAAAAACTCACAGTATACAAGTCTGCATCATCCTTTCCAAATACCTTTCCACTGTCTAGAAAAGTTATTGTCACGAAACTGGTCTTGAAAGCAGAGGAGAGAAACTAAATGCCTGAGGACCCCAGATGCTTCATTACACAAAACATCTGTGAGCTATTTTCAGGTGAGTGTTGGAGAATACTGACAGACATGCCATCATTTCTGAGATGCTGATTCAGCCCTCAGCAAGAATACACTTCTTCAGCATAGCATGTAAAAAAAGAAACGTATTCTGCATTTCACATGAGGCTATAGTAAATCACTACCTTTGAGCTACAAGAAATCACCTCTGACAAGCATTTTGTGAGCTGGGAAATAGGGCAAGAAAAGGCGAGGAGCATTAGACCCTGCCTACAGATGAGGAAACAGGCAAGCAGAACTGTACTATCGGCTTGAGGCCACCTAGAGCTCAAGAAAGACTCCCCTTCCACATCTGAGGAGCTGCAACTGGTAAGCTTTGCCTCCAAGAATAAGATTAGCTTACATGAAGCTACTTCAAATTGTATACTTTGTTCTGTTTCATGAATTCAAACACTACAGGAAATAAAAATAAAGTTTGCAGATTTAAAGCAAAACAAAAAGAAACACACATACATTTAACAGAACTGATGTCCACTTCACATTTTTTGCSATTTTGTATTATTCTTTAGAGTAAGCCTCAGTTACAGACATCTAGCTGGATCCAGCTTCTGGATTAAAGTTAAGACTTCTTGTTTCATCAAAACCCAGAAGAATAAATTGAATTTAAAATCTGGAAACCCACAGATTACGAGAGTACATTCCCCATCATGCATGCAGCTRTGTTTCTCCCTAAATAAAAATACATGACATGAGACAGGAAAAATTCCCTAAGAAGCCTTCAAAGAAAAAAAAAGAAAGAAAAGCCAAGGAAAAAGAAAAAAAATCAAATATACAATCAAAGTAAATGGAAAAAAAACCAACTTTTTTTTTCTGACATAAACCAGTCATCCAAAAGCTATTGTCAAGAACAGCTGAAGGCAAATTCTGCCCATGTTCAGCCAGGCTGATTTATTTGTTTTTGCTTTTTTTTTAATTTTCTCTCGAAGTTGGGACTGGAGACCTTGGGAAGGAGAGCTTCAAATGAAAGTAAAACTACTCTGTGTCTGCTGGGAAGCAGCATTTCAAATTAGTCACAGGAGATCAAAGCATTTACAAAATGACTCATGCTATTTTAAGTGTGCATCTACAACTGGGAAGTAAAGAAATATTAGCAGCAATTTTGCCACACCTTTTTTTTTCCTTCCCTTCCTGGCAGCTTCAGACAAGTGAGGAAGWAAATGAAAGCAAGAGCAAATTAAAGAAATACTGATGTTTCAACTTGACTAATATCTAGTCCAAGAAGGTCCAGTTGTGCACAGTAATACACCTTTCAACAGAAACTGGAAAGAAAAAAAATTTTAGAAGCCACACACCTAAAAATTATTTGCCATARAGCAAATAAGCTAGGAAAGGGGGAGATCAATACTACAGAAAGTGTAAGGTTTAATCAACACTTACTAAAAAGCTAGAAAGAAGGAATCAGGGTTTCAGAACACATTTATTCTCTCTCTCATACATAAAACCYCTCAAATAGATACATGTATGAAAAAAAAGTATACACTTTGCAACTTTTTACCCACAACTGGAAAAATAATCAAGAGTCAAAGCTTTCATCAGCAGAAACAGATCTTCATGACAAGCTGGCAGCAGTTTGTGCTACACCAAGTATTCACAGGGCTTTTTCATTGTGTCTTTTGAGCACTTAAGACTTCCACTCTAGCTAAAAATACCTTCCCTATCAAACCTCAAGCTCTTTGCTATTCTCTCCCTTCCAGTTCATGCAGCCATAGAAAGAAACACAGCACAGCTGGAAGGAAAGGAGCAAGGGGAGGAAGAGAGCACATAGCACTAAATCTCTTGTCTACAAGGGACCAGAAACAGAACAGCAGAGCTTTAAAAGCAGGCTTTGGGCTAAACTTCTGACCTTCCCTGAGACTGCAGACCTCCCTATGCCTCAGCCTCTCTGAAACTAAAAAAATCCCTCAAAAAGGCCTTGAAAAAAATCATGACTGGCAGGATTAGGAAACAAGAGACTGAATACAAGAAAAYTTGACAAAGAGACATATACACACTGTCCTGTCACTGGAAATACATTCACAACTGATGCAAACTTTTGCCAGAAATGTTTTGCATCAGATCTATTTTAAAAGTTGCAGCCAAAACTGCAATTCAAGAAATTATAGTATTCAACTGTACTTCACAGGTAACAGTGTTTTGTTCCTTCCACAGAAATGAATAATAATTCACATGGCAAGTGCATCAAGGCCGTAAAGGGCTGTACAACCTTCAAATCAAGTAACACGGTTAGAAACCTATTCTGAAGATGCACCACCCATTCCAGTGACTGGACAAATGCTGCTCATGGTARCTACAGATTCACAGAATAAACTAAGTTGGAAAAGACCTTTGAGATGATCGAATCCAACCTGTGASCTAACATTACCTTATCAGTTAAACTGAGGCACTGTRCCTCATCAAGTCTTTTTTTAAACACCTCCAAGGATGGTGACTCCACCACCTCCCTGGATAGCCCATTCCAATTCCYAGTCACTCTTTCTGTGAAGTATTATTTTCTAATATGAATCTAAACTTCCCATGGCGCAGCTTGAGGGTGCGTCCTCTCATCCTGTCACTGGTCAGCCGTGAGAAGAGGCCAAGTCCCACCTGGYTACAGCCTCCTTTCAGGGAGTTGTAGTGATAAGGTCCTCCCTGAGCCTCCTTATCACGACTSCAGCTCCCTCAGCTGCTCCTTGTAGGGCTTATGTTCCAGACTTTCACCAGCCTTGTTGCCCTTTTCTGCACACATTCAAGTATCTCAACATCCTTCCTAAACTGAGGGGCCCAGAACTGGACACAGCACTCAAGCTGTGGACTCACCAGTGCCGAGTACAGGGGAAGAATCACTTCTTCCCTGGTCCTGATGGACACATTGCTCCTGATACAGGCCAGGATGCCACTGGCCTTCTTGGCACATTGTTGGCTCATGCTCAATTGAGACCAAAATCACAGCAGCCACATTCAAGACCATTCTCAACTCTGCCCTTTAACATTCCCTTACCTTAAAATTTAGGTTCCCAGATGTATGGAAACAGTCTTTTCTTCAGAACYGGCTTCATTTGGTACAATTTTCACTGATAATCACAACTTCATTAGCTTAAGCTCATGGCTATACAGGCAGGGCTACACACCTTTCAAACCAGAAGCCAACCTGGCGAGCAGGAAAGGCAAAGGGCTGCTCCCTGGGCTCACACTCTTCTGGSTTCTTATCACCAGCAAGGGGGCCACTAACAACTCCAGCTCTGCACAGTACCCACCTCCACCCCAGAGAAAGAAAAATGGCACACACGCCAACCATGTGGGCTCTGGGGAGTCCACGGAGCCAAGGCCAGCCAGCAGCCGCACCCAGCAGTTGTGCAGACAGAAGGGCTGCCACGTTTTCGTTCATGCTCGTTTTAATTAAATAAAAACATCACACACCAAAGTACAGGTCTAGCTCCAAAAGGCCCCCTGGAGCCTGCCATTCTCCATTGCCAGGATTTTGCTTCAGAGCTGTACATTTGGTGCCAACTTGCCTCACTTCTGAAAGGGKGATTTGAATGGCACCATAAATCCTGTAAAAATGCCATGTTTCTATGAGCACACACGCTGTTGTGACACGAAAAGCCAAAAAGATGCTCCACAAATTGCCCTATTCCCTCTTCCTTCGAGCCTATGCTTCTCTCTCACCACCCCAAAGCCTCTCAAGATCCGCTGCACGATGAACGCCAAGCTGACAGTACAGGACGTGGTCACTTGGGCATATGGTTTTCAAATGGCCCCTGACTCAGACACCCAGCACGGCTGGGCGCCCCGCGGCTGCTGCCTCACTTGGAAGCAACTGGAGCTCCACTGGAGACGGCAACTTCCTGGGAAAACCAGCGGAGAAACCAGAGGCGAGTTGTTCGCGGGACACCAGCTTCTGCCGGAGCCCCCGCAAGGAACCGACCCTGACCCGCCCAGCTCTGCCTCAGGCAGGGCACGGGTTTTTCCCGCACGCGTATCCGCCACGGCTCTTTCCAGGGGCACGCCGCGGCACGGGAGGCCGCTGGGGCCGGCAGCTCTGGGCGCTGCGGTTCCGTSCTGGCCGCCGGCAGCCTCCCGGTGCCCGCTCCGGCCGCCGCCACCCCGCGCTTCCGCTCCGGCCTCCCCGGGGGCCGCGCAGGCCTCGGCGCCGCCGCTGCCCCGGCCCGGGAGGCGCGGACCCGGCGCGGAGAGGCCGCCCCGCCTTACCTGAGGGTCTGCGGGTGAGGCTGATGATCTCCTCGGCGTAACCGCCGCCCGCCACGCTGCCGTTCATGCTGCGGCCTGAAGGAGAACTCGGCTCCAGGGGCAGCCGCTCTCGCTTCCTCGGCCGCCGCCGCTCCGCGGAGCGCTGGGAGTTGTAGTTCGCACGGCGGGAAGCGCTGGCGGCGGCGCGTCCCCCGAGGGACGGGGCTGCTCCCACCGGCGCTCACCAGAGAGGCGCAAAGGGAGCGGGCTCAGGGGAACCCAGCGCAGCGTCCTCCTGCYCCCCGAGCGGCATTCTGCGCCTGGCCCTGCCTTGCTCCCCAGGCTGGAGCCGGTGTACTCGGGAAGGTTAAGGAAAAGGCGATAGTACTCTGGGGCAGGCGCAGCAGAGAAAGGAGATGCATGTCCTGTTCCCAGACCTTGTCCTCAGAGCAAACAAAATCAGATCAGACACTGCTGGGCACGAGCAAAAGCCCAATGCAGGCSAGTAGGACAGAGAGCATCCATGCCAGTGCCGAGTTATCCTGCGATGCAATAAAGTGATCTAGATTCAGAAACACAAATGGTACGCAAAATCCCCATGCTGCCTGCCACTGCTGGGGCAAGAAATACTTAACTATGTCCTGTAGAAGGTGTTTGGTTTGAGAATTTGAGAAACTTCYTCAACTTCCCCAAAACTGTACAAAACAGATAACAGCAATGAAGGGCAAATTAGTTCAACTTGCTGTCTAASAGGAGCCACTTGAACCTGGGACTCTGCACCTCAGGGTTTATTGAACCAATAGATTATGTGGAAATAGGCAACAAGGAACTGAACTGAGACTTGCGCCTTCATAGCACCTTCAGAGTACTGGGACATTTCTAACAAACCACGAGAAATACCAAGTTTTTCATTGCTGTGTTGAAATCAGAAACAACAATATTTTCAAGGAGAAACAACAATATTTTCAAGGGATATTTTCCCCTTAGCAAGGGAGTTCACACATTTTATAAGACATAGATTCGATTTGTTGGGATACATGTTTGTCTTGCTCATATGGCCCAAGAAGAAATAGGAGAAAAGTGTACAAAAATGCCCCTATCCAAACCTCACTGAGCCTCCTCCTGAATATGTCCTGTTTTTTCAGTCTTTAAGCACAGAGAAAAATGGAAACTAAAGCATTTTATTACTTATTTTTTTTCCAAAACTGCATTTGCTAGTAAGCTTTCTAGTCTAAATTGTGCTTTCATTTACACCTCTGTCTCTTCAATATGCAGGCCTGTAAATAAGAACTCCCTGACTCTGGTGTTTCACTGTCTCAGCATAGATCTATATTTGGCAATTTAGAGCATACTACTGATCAACGATGGCAGGCCACCAAGGTGGCAACCTGAAATTTGTGCCACTCTTTTTGTATTTAAAAAGCAAAATAAAAAAGTCTTTGTAGGTACTAGTCGTGCAYAGATATTTTAAAGATTCTCAGTGTAGTGCTTGTGTTACTTTTTATTTCCATCTTTCAATTAATCCACACCTCCCTTGTCTCTTACCTATTCCTTGTTTGCAACACCTGAATTATGATTGTTATTTCTCAAAGGACACCACTCCCACTCCCATCCACCTCTGAAAAAGGTCTCTGGTTATGAGGAATAAATCTGGGGTGTTAGTCAAGGAGCAGTCATCTTGCCTTTTTACATAAACACGGGATTAGGTTTTCATAATCTAATCAAATCTATCCATTTTTTATCGTGACAATAAGCACAGTCTGCTGAACAAATAGTGTGTTACCTCATTTCCACAGACACGTATAGTTAACTATTTAAGGACCCATTTGCTCTAGATAAAAAGCTGTGGAAAACTCTAAATCACATCCTTTGTATTTCACATCCCATCACAATGTAATCRGCCCTTTTTGGATACAGGACACAATCATGATAAAAAAATATTACAGGAAAATGCATATTCTAAAAACATAAATTATATATTTGGGAGGCAGCAAGCGTTCATCATCATAATTTGCAGAGTCACCAACATCCTTCTTCCCAAATGTTCCCAAGTGTTGGAGTACTTATCCTGCCATTACAAAACATTTGCTAAAATTGTGCTCRCTTTCTAAATACAAATACTTCTTCYGTTAGCTGACAAGTGCATTATAGCCCGTTATCCTGAAAACCTATAAAAAGAAGTTTTCTCTGTAATCTGGACTAYAGACTTCTCTTCATGCTGATCTGATAGAAAGGTCTAGTTACTGCTCTAATATAAATAATAAAAATAAAACTTATTGAATGGTATTTCAGAAGTTAGACATATTTTATCTTGTGTTTAAAAAATGAAAACTACGCTTCTGTGTGGCACTCCATAGAGCTGCAGGGCCACATTCAGTCACAGCTGAAGAAACAAGCACTTAGTAAACCAAGAGAAACCCTCTGAGATAGTCAGATAAAGCATCTATCAAATATTGCAGGAATTCTAGGTGAGGGAGACTTGCAGAATAGTTYCAAATATTTTAGAAATCCAGTTAACTTGGGCAACTCCCCAGACAGCTCCTCTTAGTGACAATAAAATACACAGCACTTCTCAGAAGCAGCCAGCAGTCAACGCACTGGAAAATTCCCAGAAAATAAAAACAATCTGTTCTTGTGAAATGCCAGATTGCCCCTACACTGTAGGCATATATATTATGGTTCAGAAATGTAATGCTTACTGGTGTGATCTGGATATCCTTCTCCACTCTTTCACGAAAGACCCTGTTCCCTATGATCAGCCTGTCTCCTGAAGGGCTGCTCCCTGTAGAAGGCTGGAAGCATTTGTGAAACAGATACCTGCATCTCACTGTAATACCTGTTCCTTACCTGTTTGTGTGTAACAGATGTGAATTAAATCATAGAAATACAGAAGGGTTTGCTTGGAAGGAACCCAGCAGAGACAGCAAGTGCAATTTTTTCTCTTTGGTTGTTAATGAAGGACAGAAGATGTTCCCAAACATCACCCACTGAATTGAAGAAAACAATAGGTGAAGGAGAAAATTGAAGCAAATAATTTATCTACACCTGTTTTAAGAAGTTTGCATTTTTAAACTGCTAATATGAAGCATAAACATAATACCTGCAGTTTACTTAATTACATCAGTTTAAGAGCTCAGGGTACAAAGAACAGCATGCCTTACTACTTGCACTTATCACCTTGAAATAAAATAAACAGAGACAACATTGACGCTGCATTTAATGGTATCACATGAGATTAGAGCTGTTCAAAACCTGTTATTTTGGTGAGTTATCAGATGGCTCTGCTAATGGGAGATTCCCCCARGAGCATCCAGAACTACTGCTGATTTACTTGGACTCGCTAGCAGGTCCGTTTTCTTTAGGAATTTCCTTTTTTTTCAGTCTTTGAAACAACAGCCACATTCTTTGGAATTGGGCCTTCGCAAGCCATCCCATTATTTCCTGTTTATAACGGAAGGCAAGGAATCCTCCGAGGATACATAAAGAATAAAAAACAAATAGTGCTAGTCTTACTTTTTTTCTCTGAGAAGAAGTAGTCTTCCTGGCTGGAGGGGGTCCACTGTCAATGCTACCTCCAAATCCTTCCAATGCACAATAGGGAGGGGCCCAGCCATAATCGCAGTGACAGTTCTTACGATTGTTACACACTCCTCTGTCATGACACTTGGTCACGTTACAGTCATAGTTCAGCACTACAACACTCACACACGTCCTGTTGATACAAAGCTTATTTCTACCACATGGTGTGCCATCTTCCACAGCTCCCACATCTGCTGTTGGCATCCCTACGTGATAGTCAAGACCCCAACAATTTTTATCCCCAACAGGAGTTTGGACCAGTGTTACATGGCTCTGCAACAAAGGTAATTTGACTATGTTTTCACACTGAATCCTACCACATAAGATATTCTCAGTACTGCATTTTGTAAAATGGATATTATCACGAATACCACAATTCCCAAAGCGGTCACCTTGAGTATTCACTGCTTTGAAACAAGCCAAAGGAGCAACCCTGGCATGTTTGCCAAAGAGACGCTGGCACTGTTCACCATGGGAAGAACATTTTCCATGATAGCAATAAACACCACCATCTTCACAAGGCGCTCCATCTTGTACATATACATCCAGTGGGCACCGAGGGGAAATCCCATTGCAATACTCTGGCAAGTCACAGCTGCCAGTACTTGCTCTGCAGACTGTCCCTGCTGGAAGAATCTTACAGTTCTTGCAGCATTTTCCAGATGCACAGACCGAACCTGCAGTAAATGTACAGTTCGCGCGGCAACAAGGATCTTTTCTGCAGCTTGGTGCTGAACCACAGTCACATTGCTCTCCACTTTCTACTATCTTATTCCCACAGTATTCACGGTTCGAGGTGTAGAAAGTGCCAGGTGCTGGTGGTTGACGAAGGCAGGCGGCGCCAGTTCCAAGCAGGTCAAAGTAGTTTTTGTAGCTGCAGTCACTGAATGAATCGGTCTCAGCATTGTGTTCATACATAATGCATGTCTTGCGCCTGCATTTACAATGCGGTTTATCATGGCTCATCCCAAGATTATGGCCCAGCTCATGGACAAAAGTGATAAAAATTTCGGACAGCTTCATCTCAGTGAAGGAAATAACAGCCGATGCCCAGTGTTTATCACACACTGTCCCTATATATGCCAATCCCAGGCTGCCTTGAAACCACTGAAACGCAAATAAGTGAGCAACATCGTGGCGCAACCGTTGGTACAGGTTTGTCTTTCTCCATTGGTTAAACTGACCAAGTACACTGGGAATAGACTTACTAACATTTACAAGGTTGCTTTCAGTCCAGATCTCCAGTCCTATAAGAAACAGACGGACAGAAAGCTGTTTGTACAAGGTGTCTCCAACGTTGATGATTTGCATGATATGCTTCAAGACTTCAGCTTTGTTCCTGCCTGTCTTCACATACCGCACATTGTCCACGACCACTACTATCTTCACATATCTGATGTGCGTCCACCAGTCGTTCAGCATTTCGTTCTCCTCGTCTATCTTGGGAGCCTTGAACCACGGCAGCACAGCCTTTTGTTGCCGCAGCACCTCCGGCGTCAGTCCGCAGCCGGCTCCCTCGGAGCTGTTGGACTCCTCCATGCGGTAGAGGATGTGCCGAAAGGCCGGATCGTTGGGGACGGGCTCGATCTGGTAGGTATCATCCCCCACCCAGAGCACGCCGTGGAGGCCCCTGCCGCAAGTGCAGAGGGCTACCAGGGAGCCGGGGCTCCCCAGCACCTCGCCCTGGTAGAAGCAGTTGTCCCGCACGAAGGGGTGCTCCTCCCGACGGGCCCCGTCCCGGCCGTAGGTGACCAGGGTGAAGGGGCGGGAGACCAGGCCCTGCCTGGGCTGCAGGCGCAGCACCCGCGGCCGCCCCGCCACCTTGAGCCAGTAGGACACGCCCGGGGCGTCGCGGCCGAGCCGGGGGCTCAGCTGCCGCGGCACCGTCACCCAGGCGGCGCGCGGCTCCGCGGGCTGCGCCCCCCGGGCCCCGGGGCACCCCGCCACGCCCAGCAGGAGCAGCAGGAGCCCCGGCAGCGGGCCCATCGCGGCCGCTGGCACCGGCCGGCCCCGCCCGCGGGGGATACAAACTGCAAGGACCCGGCGCGGGCAGAACCGCCCGAGGCTCCAACTGCCGCCGTGCGGGCCGGGCCGGGCCCGCCGAGAGAGCGGCGCCCGCTCCCCGGGAAACGGTACCGGCGGCCGTGGCGCGTCGCCGAGCGTTGCCCGGGCTCCTCCAGACAGCCCTCCCTGCTCTTTGAGCCTCTCGTGTGGAGGAACGAATAAATTAGCCACCCACAAACACAGCTTTTAATGATCTTCATTTCAAATAAGGTACTTCTCCTGAGCAGGCATACAGCGATGAGAGTCCCCCGTTCAGCTTCACACTCCTTGTCACAGATGTCTCTGTTGAGCAAAGGGATCATTTCGGTAGACCACAAATGGGAAAAACTAGTTTAAAAATCTCAAAAGCTTGTGTTTTGCTTTTTTTTTTTTTTTTTTTTTTTTTTTTTTTTTTTTTTTTTTTTTTTTTTTTTTCTCTTTTTATTATAGGGTAATTTGTGACTGGACAGAAACAGGCTATTTCAGCTCATGAGAATATCTGGAAAAGCTTAGAGTCTGAAAAGAAAAAGTACAGAAATATTCCCTGTGGTGACCTTAGCATGTACCTTACTATAGCTACCACAGCATACACACGTCCCAGCAAAAAGGTAGAACCAGGGGAGAATTCACTTCTACTACATTCTATAATATAGATGCAGACTTTATTTTGTACCAAGTACAAAAGCCTCGAACCTATCCACACCACAGCTGCTACCTTAATTACATACAGCACTTAACACAGCAGSCATTTTCCCACATCATGTCCTTTGTAAAGACTTGGAAAGGGAAAGGAAAGCAATGGAAAGGGAACAGTTACAGGTACATCTACACTTGGCTGTCATCCCTGTTTTGGGATACAGCTCCATCAAGACATAACCATAAGACAGTGATCTGAATTGTGGTAAGACAGGATGTCCTGTGCAATACAGCTATGCACGCTGTTTTTTTGGCATGTAGTGCTGGGATTCAACAAAGCCACAGCTGTTGCCTTTTGGGAACTCTTCACAACTTTCTTTTCTGCACTGAAAGCACATCTGGGATCAAGTCCAACCTGCTATGGCCTTTATCTTTCTCAGCTGCAGGAGGTGCACCCTCCTACCACCCTATATTCATCTCAGGAATCGTGGTTTTTTGGCACCAATTTCTCTGTGCTGACCATCACCATGGCAGCAGCTGCAATACTTAACATTTCAAACTACCCGAAACAGGYACTGCCCCTCAGGAGGCTGGGCAGTGAAAGAAGCAGCTGGCAGAATGCTCAGAGCCCCTTCTGCTGCCTCATGCCCCAGCATCCTGAATGGGCTGGTACCTCATGCTGGGCACATGTCAGGCCTAACTAACATCAGTGGAGCGTGCCAACAGTTGTACAAAGGTGCTTCAGATTCTGTGGATTGGCACRCTGCTCATTCCTTGCAAGCATGGCCAGCATTAGCAGCAAACACATTGTAATACACTACCTCAGATTAAAGAAATGAAAACTGGATGCCTACTTCTATTAGGATCCATCTAGGAGGATCTTTCTAGATATCCACCCAAATTCATGACCTGTTTCAGCTTATATTTTCTTATTGGTTTTAAAATTATAGGAACTGTTTCTTCTGAAGTCTTTTATGTCCAGCTAGTTGCTGAATGATTGTCCACTACTTTTCAACTATCTATCAGCTTTGCATTTCAGTACTGTGAACTACGTCAGATGATGTCTCTTGAAGTAAATATAACACAGACCACAATAATGGAAAAACCCTGTTACATAATCTGCATGCAGTCTGTGGTGTTATTTTTAATTGCATACTTCTGCTGAGTGATAACTCCTTAAGTTATACAAAAGACCCTACTAAATCACTCTGCCAATTTGCTGGAGACATGTCTTAGCACCCCTACCATCCCCCAACCTGAAGTTGCCTACTATTTCCTTTCTCTTTTAATATAAACATAGCTATATAATCAGGATCAAAAAATATTCTATTTCCACTGTTGATCTCATGACAGATTCTTGGGGGGGAAGTGTCAGTGCAAGTTTGCAACACTGTGTTCAGCACCTAAGCAAGTCCTTCAGCATCGAGCTTACATAAAAAGGGATCACAGTGTTGTGTTCAGGTTACCAGAGCCTTGCATTTCTGTATTTTGATCAGGTAAAGATCAAAGGGGAGGGAGGGAAAGATTCCCATTATATGACAATGAACAGGTTGGAAGGAAACATGACTGACCTTACAGTAGAGCACGGAAAAAATATCACAGCCATCTGTAGCTACTTTGACTGCAGAAACATTTGTTTGGCAGGCGTAACTGGCTTTGTCATGAGTGTTTTTTAACTTTTTTCAGTCTTGYAGCTCCCTAGAATTTCTAATGAAGGTGCAAGTTCCAGCAGAATTGAATCCTACCAGCAAGAGGTTTCCTTTTCTCACTTGCCTTCTATYGATTCTTTAGGAACAGGTGACAAAACACCAGCAGCCTTGTGGATCACAGGTTGAAATTCACTGGCAGAAAGAAATGAAGCCTTCAGACCACTGAAAGATCAATAACACATCATAATTCATCCCACTGGGAAAATTTCTCACCACTACCCATCCATCTATGATCCACATTTTAGGCTACAGGACATGTAAGAGACCATCTGTTTGTTCTGTGCATGATTACAGGACCAAAGCAACACTTTATCAGAAGTTCACCCTCCTCGCTGAGAAAAAAAAAAAAAAACCTGTCTTGAACCTTGAATGCATAGTTATTATTTGGTTTGCCATTGAAAAACTATTGAAAACCTTGAAAAAGTGTATCCCATTAGCTTTTGTTCAGAAACCAGCTGCTGGTCAGTGAAGTCACAGTCTATTTGCGTAACGTATCTTCACCCTTCTTCTGACAGGGGACTTCCATGTCTCAAAATAAAGCTAATCAATCCCCTTTGCCTTGTTCCTCCTATTGCCTACACCCTTCTTGCTCCAAATACAGCTTGCTCTGGCAAACAAAATGTACTGACTGACCAGCTGGCCTCTAACTTTCTTTGGTAGGAARAGGTTACCAAAATATGAAGTATGGGTGCAGAGTGGCAAAGTGGAACAGGTGACAGCAACATACAGCTTGGTCAGACTTTACTTAGTGAAAAGATGACAAAGACAGTATTTCTGCTGCACCTGAGACACCATTAACTTGCACAGTAAATTGAGGTAGCTAGAGTAGTCCTCYTCCTACAGTCTGGCTGGATATTTACATGCACATATACACACATGTATATATGCATATTAATATGTGTATACAGGCATTTACATGTACTTTCAGGCTCTGAGAACTGTTTCTATTCAAGTTCCAGGTAATTTTCAGATCCTGCTACCCCATGATTCAGGTGAAGAAAAGCCCTTTTGAAGTCTGAGTGGTTATTATCTAAGAGCAAAAAGTAATGACAGTTCTCTTGTGCAACTAAGTCTCTCCTTTATGCAAAATAAAGTGACACACAGGCAAATTTCCAAAGTGCTTCTTTCCGTTTCATCTACAAGCTTTACAAATACTTTGGAAGGACTTCGAACTTCATAGTCAGGCTCTAAACCAGGAGAAACAAGGTTTAGACTCTCACACACTGAAAAACACTGACTACAAGGTATCTGCTTAGCATCTTTTTGACAGTAAACTACTTGGAGCTTAACAGTAATATCTGACATAATGTCACTTCAGTAAGTTAATATCATAGCACACTTAACTGATAAAATTATTTTAGAATATCTGGTCAGCAACTAACAGGATAAGAAAATATTTCAGTCCCTCATATGGCAAACCTTCAGCACTGGACAGCTACTAAGAAATCAACACACTGGTAACATCCCTTACTGATTTATGATGTAATTCTCTCAAGAAAAGATCATTTCCCTGGAAGAGGCTCATGACGTTCAAGTGCTTGTTTCACAAATGGAAGACATTTTCTATCCTCTCAATAGCTTAGAAGCTGGCACTTTAACTCAGATGAAATTAGAATAGGAATCCATCCTTTTTAACTCAGCTTCTGAGACCAGCCAACACTAGCTATTTCTGCAGAATAAAAAAGGCTGCTTAGGGATGCAGATGTGAGGACAGACTGCCTCATCAAGTTCCACCCGCATCTCTGCATCAGCTCAAATTCTGAGCATGGACTATAATGGATCAGTCTAAATGTCAACTCTAATTCAGCTTCATTTACTTGTCCCTTTATTCTTGTACAAGACAGAACAACAGTCCTCTCTACTTCCCTACTTCTTTCACCACTCACTTTTATAAAGACTCAATATTTGTCCTCTTAGTGCTGTCACAGGAGAAACTCYGTCCTACTCATTTTATTACCCTTTTTCAAACCCATCTACTTCAGGAATATTATTTTTAAGACATGGAATTGTGTAACACACTTTATGTCAGGTGGACTTCAGTAACTGATACGAGTACTTTGCTCATACTATATTCCAGCATACATTTTTTACCACAGCTGTATGTRTCTTCAGCAATAAGCAAGCTACCTTTCTTCTGCTAGTAGTGTAAGCATCTCCTTTATGAGTAGGTAATTTTTAAAAAAAAACATTAAAAAAAACAAAACAAAATGAAAAAAAMCACAAAAAAAMCCCTGAAGTCCAACACCCTAGGTCTTCATTAAGTGCAGTCTGTCATCTTTCTTGCTAAAGTTTTTCCAAATTACATACAGGTTCTTAGTTCCTCTAATGGCTATTTCCAAGGACTTCATTCTGACTATGAACAGCAAGAACTGCTGAGGTTCCTCACCAATCATGTCACAGCTTTCCATCACAGGGGTGCACAAGATGAAGGTTTTGGTGCTTCTTTCTACTGCGTGCTTTCAGAGGAATTTCTTTAATACAAGAGAAGACCAACACCCTTTTTTTCTAAGTATATTCACATCACCTTGTCTTGTTTTGAGCATCCCAGAACAACTGCTTTCTTTGTTTTCACTTGATTTAATAGTTCACATTAGCTTATTATCTACTTTTATCAACATTCTGAGAAATGGCTGTTCAAACCTGATCCAGGTATGAAATAAACCTAATACACAYTCAAGTACATGAATATATGAATTTCAGATCTGTATCTGTATCAACTGAGAACAGCTATTGGCTTATCTTCATCTTTTAACATTACAGCTTTGGATTATAGGACAAAAATTATATGGCTCTTTCTATCATTCAGTAATAAACAGCTGGGGAGCTAGGTTACTGAAACAGAAAGAGTGTCTTGTAACCTGAAAATAAATTTGACACATCTAAGCATATCTTCGTCTTTCTTCCTATCTGCATTTCGGTTGCTATGTACAAACCTTTTTCTTGCTTACTGCTGTTTACTGCATGAAAGCAGGTAACAG